CACTGGTGGTACTCCTTCCGAAAATGCGGGAGGGTTTGGGTTCCCTGTGTTTTTGGGGAAGCGAGGAGGGAGCTGAGCTGTACGTGAGAGGGTAATGTGTGCAAAACAAATCAAGCAACAGGGCCTCTGATATAATCAAGCAACGGCCTAACCAGGGATGCGACAAGACCTCAAAGAATTCCCAAGTGTTGCAGCCGGAAAATTGCAAAATCATGTTCTTGTATTGGAATTGATTGAGAGTCCCTTATTACCTAGTTCAACCTGCACACAGCTGTTATTAAATCCACCAAATGGTTGGACACTATATGATTGATATTTGTTGCTTATACTACTTCTTGCATCAAAAAGTACCCTTAAAGATACCCTTAGTTATAGTCCGCGACAAGCAAGTCTGAGCTCCATTTAATAATGTTCCATTTAGCAATTTCCTGGTGGCTTTTGCGGGCTTATTCCATTTCCAGTGGCTGGCTGCATCCCTGCATGAAATCACAATAGATCAAACTAATATCACATATCAGAGCATCACCCATCCCTAGTCCATTTATGTATGCACTACCCAAGACTACACGCACATAAGTGCGACGAAGGGCTTGTCAGCAGGCCATCGTTGTCGCCGCGGGCTCTCTCTTACATATGTGCACTGAAAGAAATATGAGTTAGCTAGGAAATTTTAAGGTTAAAGAATCAAATTAGAAAGCCAAGCAAAGTTAAAAAACCTTTTCAAATTATATTCTAATTTCTCTAATAGTCCCTCTCGCTCTTATAATCCCTTTGACAGAAATATACATAAGGACACCTGAAGAGACGTACCAATGGACACCTCTTAAAAATAATGTTCCAATTTTCTTATTACCAGATTTATATATTATTTAATTTTAGAGAAAAGAGAAGAATTATTTAAGAAAATATTTAGGAAACTTTCTTTTTTTATATATTTACAATAGAGTAATCATTTGTTATGCTCAGTGTCCTTCTGCCAGTTGGAGTTTGAAGCTGCAGGCGTCGTCGCCGTCGCTGTCTCCTTCTCACCATTTTTCATTTCATTGCGCCGCTGCACATGGCTGTCAACTGCCAGGCCAAGACGCAGATGGACGCGGAGATGGCAGTAGAGTTGGAGGCGGCGGCGGCGTTGGCGATGTCTAAGCTGCAGCCTTCTTGGACTGAGAGTCCTCCGAAAGGGAAGACGAGACGGGAAAAGGGGACACAACGCGCGCCCGCATATCGATTTCAGCGCATTGTGCCCTGTTTGCATACAAATATCCTAAGGACATGTCACAGAGACGCACTGAGTGCCATGTCCTTTCCCCGGCCCCGGCCCCTGCCTTTGGCACACGTACGCATGTAAATTGTATTTGTGACACACACACATATACTCGTATTTAGAGCTCCTGCGCTCCTTTCATCGGGGGATCCTTGAGCTGCTTGTGCTTGATTTCATTTGCCGGGGCAATTGTCTTCGGCGGCGTCTGCCTCGACTTTATTTTTGCCAAAAGTTCCACGCAAATTCGAATTCCTCGCTCTTTGGCAACTTGTCAGGCAGCCATTTTTTGTATGTGTTTGGAAGGGGGCGAGTTTTTTTCTTTTTATCTCAAAAAAAACTTCTCTTCGCTGAAATCCTGAACCAAAATCCTGGTGCATGTGCCACAGAGGGACCTTTGTGCCTTTGTGCGTGGCGTCCGCCTTTCACTGCAAAGACAGCGAATTGGCCTGCGCTTGTGCCTGCCAGTGACACTTGATGTTTAATTTCAATAACTCAGTGCTCAGTGCTCAGTGCTCAGTGCTCGGCATTCGCAGTTTGAATTTTTTTTTTTCAGAGAGGGGAGAGTGTGTGGAATTGACTGGCGATGGCGCTGAAGTCCCGATTCCAATTATAGCTGTCCAAAATAAAGACGAGTGCAAATTATAGAAATTTCATGTTCAATAAAGAAGTTCCTAGGACTTTTTTTTTAAGGGTCTTAGAAATTTTTAAACAAAAAAGAGAGAGAATTATACATTTTGGGGAATTAAACATTAGTTTGCAGAGTTTATTTAAATGTATAAACAAGAAATGACTGTACGTATTCCTTGGCTAAAAGTTAGACTAGAGGTTTTTTTAACAAATATTTCTATAAATTGAACTAAAATCGCTTTGAATTCCGGTCCAGCTCACTCTTCCTATTTGATTTAAATCCTGTGCCAGTTATTCACTGGATTCGACTGGATTTATTTTCGAATTTCCTTTGCCTGCTCGCTGCATACGATTCGCTCTTTGTTATTCCCGGAAATTCCTCCGCACACACATACAGATTTCCAATATTATAATAAATGCCCCAAAATCCAATTACTTTACCACAATGTCCGAAATATATTTTGATTTCGTGCCCCTGTCGCTGGGAAACTCATACTCATACTCCTTTGGCATTTTGGGCCCTTGGCTTTTGTGGTCAACTCTGGACCGCTGGTGCAGCATTCAAAAACCGTAAAACGCAAGTTGCAGCAAACAAAGAACCCATGCGGCTTGCAATTGTGAAAGGTCAACATTCATTTTTGGGGGGGTTTTCACTTTTCCTTTTCCTTTTTTCCCCCATTATTCCACTCGGCGGGTGGTCGCCCAGGAATGCCGGACGGCTTCGGGAGGTGTGAAAATGCCAGGGAATCGGTCGTTATTGGGTAGAATCGGGGAAAACACACACACACACACAGTCATACATTTCACATTTCATTGACTGACTGGTGGTGGTGGTGCTGCTGCTGCTGCTGGGAATTAATTGAGGCAGCTTGACAGCTGCTCTGGCCCCTAACCCATGGCCATCAAAAGTTCCGACCTGGCTTAAAGCTGCACTGCACACAGAGAGCCTGCCTTAAAGGCCACAGCAGGAGGCTCCGGAACCCAGAACAGAGTTGTCAGCCAGTCGGCGGGGCCAGCTGTTAATGAGCATTCAACTGGCTAATTAATTTTATACATTTATTAAACTTTGTCTCTGGCCCACGTCGCATCCCACAAACTATTTACCATACAAATCTAATTTTATCAACTTTGTCTTTGGGCCGCTTAACTAGCTGAGCGAGCAGTCGTCCTGTGCTCTGTGTCCCTTTGTCCCGTGTCCTTTCACTGGCAGGAGCCCACGACTGCCCCGACTCCTGTCAAAACATTGTGACACAGTTCTGCTTTCTTACAATTTGCCCCGCTCTTTATTTAGCCACGTTTGTTACGGCTCGCGCCATTCTCTTGGCTCATTAACGTTGGCCTTTGTTTCGTCCCGTCATCGTCGTTGTCGTCTGGGAAGGCAGGAAAAGCAGGAAAAGCAGCAGGGAAAAGCGGCAGGGAAGAGTAGGAAGTAGACCGAGTAGGAGCTTAGCTAGGCATCCTGCATCTATCGCCTTTGTGCGGTGGCCTTTGTAATTTATAAAAGTCCACCGAACGGACTCGACTGATATTGGGACTGGCTGGAGGAAGATGGTTAGAAGGTTGGATGGCTGGCATGTAAATCAGGTCAAAACAATGCAACTGACAGTGAATTGTGCCCGGTTGTCGGTATAACCCTTCATCCCGCCTCCCTCCTTCAATGGCACATTCAGAGGGACTCGAACAGTTTTACTTCATTATTGGTTACTCAGCAATTCATTCACAGGACACACCTTGTAGCCGGGCGCCTCGCATTGCCCTTTTTATGGCCATGTCCTTTGCTTATCCGGCCTGACTAATGACAAGCACTGGGCAGCCGGTGCTCTGCTCCGGTTTTGCACTCGGCCTTTTGTCAACCACTTCGACTTGGACTCGACTTGGAATCGTCGTCGTCCTCGTGCGGTGCCTCCTCTCTTTTTCTTCTTCTCCCAACCTGTGTAGGTGGGCGTGGCTGGAAGGACCATGGACTGTGGCAGGTGCTGCTGCTGCTCCTCCCCTCCTTATAACAAAGGCATAAATTATTTGTGCTGTCAACATGGCTTCCTCAGTCCTGTAAATGGCAGTTGGCCTGCGAGCCCCAGAGAGCTTATTGTTTGTCTATTGATTTGAATTTGCCCAGGAATTATGCAAGTTTTTTATATCTGTCCCCATCCCTCCATCAGTGGAGCAAACAAATGTTTGTTGCGGGCCGGGGACTGATGGATGCTTAATTGTTATGGATAGTCGAGTGGTGCAATCTGTGACTTCGATTAAAAATGTCTGCAGGCGAAGGAGCAAGATGTATGGGATCAGCTTTCAAGGCAAATAAAAATAAATTGTTTCTGGTCGTCTGTAAATTAAAAAGAGATTCGACGGAAATAAATTTATACAGATTTTAATTAAAGAATTGTGCAATTATATATGATGTTCATTTGATAATTATAACCACGTGTTTAGTATAGTATTTCCCCTCTGAAACCTAAATAACATTTTACAATTGAATTACATCATGCAATAATTTTAAATACTTTTGTTTAGTGCAACTTTATCAAAGTGTACTAAATATAACTGCCACTAATAATAGATGCAGTCGTTACAAATTTACGCTTTTCACAAATTGCTGAATTTCTGGACCAAAATTTAGCTAATTTGTTGAATTATTCAGCGCCGACCTTCATCTGTCGGCAGATTCGGAAATATTGCCGTGATTATGCGAGATTAAAAGCCTTCGAAAATATCAATTGGGGACTCGGCCGAAAACAAATGGCATGCAAATCAATTGGGCAAGTGTGAATGGCTGGCACAAAGGCCGAAAATTGTCAAACTCTGACCGCATCTAAATACAATAAATGAATAATTGATTCGTTGTTGGGGCCCTACCCCCCGGGTAACTAATTGCGACTAACTTTGCTGATTCGTCCCCTCCCCAAATGGACTGATAATGGAATATAATTACCATCGAAAAAGGGAAATTCTATTGTGGAGTAATTGTCTGTATTGTGCGTAATCAAATTCAGGCTCATCTAGCAAAAAGTTTAATTGCCATAATTGCATTCGCCTGATTCGGACGCGGATATCCAGTGAGATCGCCTATAAAAGCGGCAGATTTCAAACCGATGGCCTACAGTCGAGGCTCTCCAGTGAACCTCCATTCAACTCCAAGCTCCACCATGAAAGCCACTTTGTTCTGTGTTGCTCTGGCTGCTCTCTTGGCCGTTGGTCAGGTAATGGGAATACTTCTTGCTACTGTTTGTTAGCTTACTAACCACTGGATATATTTTGTATACCCAAACCGTAGTGCGATCCGGACTTCCGGCAGATCATGCAGCAGTGCATGGCCTCCACGCAGGTGACCGAGGCCGATCTCAAGGAGTTCATGGCCAGCGGGATGCAGGGCAATGCCAAGGAGAACCTCAAATGCTACACCAAGTGCCTGATGGAGAAACAGGGCCATCTTGTCAATGGCCAGTTCAATGCCCAGGCTTTGCTTGATACCCTGAAGAATGTGCCGCAGATCAAGGACAAAATGGATGAGATCACCTCGGGCGTGAATGCCTGCAAGGACATCAAGGGCACCAACGACTGTGACACGGCCTTCAAGATCACCATGTGCCTCAAGGAGCACAAGGCCATGCCGGGACATCACTAGGCAATCATTGTCGATATATTAATCGATTCTCAGGTTAAATATTGGTGAATAAATCTGTTCATGTTGCATCAAAGCAAAAGTGAGGCTTTTATTTCGTAAAAAAGAAGGAAGAGAAAATGTAAAGGGACTGTTCTGAAAACCAACTAAGGAATAATCCACTTGCCACATTTGTAGCAAAGATTACACTTGAGTTTCTTATCAGCCAGGTAAATCGACACAGAAATAAGGTGTGTTGTCAACTTTGAGATTCTTAACCTAGCCCAAAAACCCAACTCAAAAGAAATCTCTGGCAAGAATAAAGAACTGCAGCCAAGAAAGAGTTACATCGCCTTTCGTGATTTATCAACTCTCGGGATTCTGGGAAGTAGCCATTGACAACCTGTTTCCTTCAAGCCACCACAGCGTTGTCTACGAAAATCATTTGTCAATTTTAATAAGTTTAAAATCAAGATAATTAAAAGAGAAGTTGGAAACAACGGGCGCTTGGCAACCAAAGCGAAGGCAGAGGAAGGAATGCGGGATGCTGGAGCCTGGGACGTGGCCGTGGCCGTGCGACGTGGGATGCTCTCGGGGGATGGGAATCCTTTCCTTTTCTTTGGAACACTGTGACACCAATTACCGCTAATAAATCATTTCACGTGTGAGAATCCCCTAACCATACCTTTCGGGTAACATATGAGCTGCGCTTAATGGCAAAAACCGGGGCAGCCAGCGGAGGGGGATCCGTCCGAGGGCCAATGTAACCATAGAAGATGTAACATAAATCAACGCCGCAGCCTGCAATGGAAGAAGACAAACGCGGTTCATTGCACTTGTCTGCCTTTGGAGTTGTCGATTCCCGGGGTTCTCGGTTCAGGGATCGGGGATTGGGGATTGGGCTTGGGCTCTGGCTCTGACTTCGACTATTGGGTGTGTGAGAGTGAGGAACCACGGGGCCGGCACGTTGACAAGCTCCTGCGACATGAGACAACAAAATCCGAGTCCGCTGCCCGTAAAGAGAAAGCCAAGAATTCTTTGAAGGACCAACCCAGTCCAGCAATGACAATTTGAAAAAGAATCCCTGCTTCTTGTTTGAATTGAAAGGTCGAAGGAGAAGCAGCTAAAGAAGGAGTTGGAGATGGAGTTGGAGCGGAGATGGGCTGCAGTTTAGAGATGCAGATGGGAGCGGGTCGTAGTTGGCCGTTGGGGCGTTGTCATGGCAGCCACATGCATACAAATTTTACCCACTTCAAATTGTGCAGCCCGGCCATGCATATAATGGCCTGGCCTTTTATCAACTAACAAATACCGGGCAACAAAAAACTTTCCAACGATGGATGACTACAGTCGCTGGGGGGGAATGGGTCTTGCACTGGAAAACTCAATTTGAATATTGTCGGACGAAACAAGAAAGGAGCCGGGTTAGGAGGGGCCCAAGACGGGCTCCAAGACGTACCACCGCCACATGATGAAATGCAGTCAAGTTAAAAAGTGTCACTTGAGTTATGAGTTCATTGTTTGGAGTTACCAGGAGACCAGGAGATGATGATGGAGCAGGCAGCCTTTCAATGGCCTTAGCCTGGCAGGGGTTATAAATAGTTGGCCAAAGGGTTGTTGCAGACGACTTTGGCTTGGGTGGCGGCTGCTGCCTCCGGATGACTAAGACGATTGCGGTGCCTCGAAAAATATTGTGGCGGCTGTGTAGTTTATGGCCGACTCTAACAGCAGCAGGGAAGTCGATGCCAATCCTATAGACTCCCCTTACTCGTTTCGCCTTGTTTTTCGGCTTAATTTGATCCTGGAGCTTTGATAGAGAGAGAGTGCAGTCCAAAAGCTAGAACTAATTCGTTGATAAGTTCAATCTTCGGAATGGTGTCTCCCGCCCTCAGGCCGCACAATTGTCACCCCAAAAAAATATATTCGGTTATTTTCAACACTTGCTTCCCGGTTTTCCCTGGTACTGGGACTTATCTCCGCCGGACGATCTTATTCGCCGATCCGCTGTCACAGATAGATACCGCCGGCTGTGCGATAGGAGAAATAATGGATATGGCAGCATAGAGACAGTCGTCGTCATATGAAATGAGTTTCAATTTTGAAAAATTGCTTTCAAATGCTTGTGTGAAAAACGGAAATGCGAAGGGAATTCACCCCCAGCCCCTTTGGTTAGTTCCCTTCCCCCAAGGTCTTTATTGTTTCCTCTTTGGGTGAGGAGCGTGTGCCCAAATTAGAAAGCAAATGAATGGAGGTGCACTGGGAAAAATAATAGAAAATTATCATTCAACTTGAAAGGAAATAAATCTGGCTTTGACTTAATTTTTCTGAATTTTAAATAACATTTAATTATATTTTTTATATAGCAAGCATTTTTGTTAGTATAAATTCGTTTTAAGGTTGACTTTTCTCAGTGTACCAGCTCTTAGCAGGGGTATGGGTTGAGGGGTTGATTGTTCGGGGGTCTTTACTGCATTTACTGCCCGAAAAGTTGACACTTTTGTTGCCGTTTTGTGCGGGTGCACGTTTTCCCGCTCGGAAAATGGGAAAAACTAACGGCACAGTCCCGCTCAAGATGCACGGGCACGGCAATGGCGATCACATCCAGGTCGCAGATCTCTGATCTCTCTCGAGCCCCGTTCACACCACCAAACCGTCCCCGGAGGCCACTCACTTCGCTCCGGCGGCCCCGATGAATTTACATATCCAAGAGTTTTATTGCCAAATCCTTATTATGTGGGAAACAGGCCCAGTGTTCCATTGTCGTTGCTTTGGAATTTAATTATCGGTTGCATGTCAACGCCTTTTCAATACCTTCATTATGCTCCGGGGTCGTAATTAAGCGCGCCTAAATATACGGCTCTTTTTTTGGTGGATTCTAATTATAATTTCGGGTGTTCCTAGTCGAATCTCTCACCTCTAACCTCCATGGGCAGCGACGTTGGTTGAATGGAAAAGCAGATACACGGTAACTGAATATTTTTATTTAAATTACCCGGATGTTAACAATTTGCTGTCCATGGTCTCTGATCGCATTTGATTTATGAATATAATGTAAGGTTGTATATTTCTGTATTTCTGTTAGCCCGAAAACCCTAGCGAAATGAGGTGGGTCTAGGCCTGATCATAAGTAACGGCTGCTTAGAATCATGGGAATCGAAATGAAGTCTAGGAAAAGGAATAGTTTTGAAGATCACATTATAAGAGGCATTCATTTTGATGGATATTTTACCTAGGAGAACGCTAGACTAAGAGAAAGATACTAAAATATATCTGGTAATTTCATGCTGTATCTGTTGTATCTTTAAGTTATAAAACTATCTTCAAAACGAAACATAAAAACCTAAAAAAAAAAGTAAATCTGTCTAAAATTTCTTGTAATCAAACTCCCATATAGACCAACTTCAACTTCAAGTTGCTCATCCATCGCCAAAGGTTTGATTCAACTAATAAAGAGAGTGCTCTCCACAGATTTCCGCTTACTTTTTTAACCCCCTCTTGAAGTGGCTTAAAATCAAACCAATTCCCCATGCCATATCGATGGCAATCACGTGGACACATCTAGCTGCTATCCACTCAGCCCACTCGGAATCGTAAAAAACCCGGCTAACCCGGCTAACGGACGACGACTGTGGGGGCCGAACTTAGTTGTCAATCAAATTGTCGCAGGGGCCACACGCAAATTTATTAAATCGATATGCCATCAAAATGGAAAGTGGTATGACAGCAGGTCTGGGAAATGGGGCGGGCGGGAAATCCCCGCGATGTCAGACAGTCGAAAGCCCAATGCAAACATTTGCCTTGATTGCACTTGGTTACAGCCACATTGGCCTTGGCCCAGGGTACGGCGAATACAAATATTTGAATGTCGCGAAAAATCGAACAGTTGTGGGCGGAAAAGTCTCGCAGGAAAACCGTCTGTCCAAGTGGGTTGCACAAATTTATTGTTATTACAAGCGATTTTCTAAAATAATTAATAGCAAGTGTGCCGAGGAGGACTCGAGACTCGGACTCGGTCTCTGTGGCTGTCACCAGCAGGAACTGCAATTACAAGAACAGTTACAATTGGGACAAAGGATGAGGGACGAACGAGGGAACTGAGGCTGGGAGGGGAGCAGCATGGTGTCCGGCAATTGTGCATTTTGTCAATGGGAATTAAATTGGCAGTCGTCGACTCTCAGAATGCCAACTCACACCAGCAGGAACTGACAGCTCGCAAAGCCGGGGGGGGGAACGGGAAAGGGAAATGGCAAAGCGAATGGGAAAGGGAATATCCTCGAAACGGCAGGATGTCAAAAGTTCCTAAAGGGACACACCAAGTCGGGTGGTTCAATTGTGGGCATGTTGAGCGGTCTGTCCGCCGCACAGGATTCGATCGTTCAGTTGGCCGGCCATTCCCATCATTAGCGCCTGTACGTGTCAAATTGATGCTGTTATTGTTCTCAGCCCTGTGATAGTGTGTGCGTGTGTGTGTGTGTGTGTGTGAGTGTGCCATGTCCTGCGATGGCAGGAGTATCCGTGAGTACTATTTGACATTTAGCTTAGCCGCGGGTGACAAATTTAATGGACGCTCTCGCTGGCACCGCACATCTTTTTGCGGGCCAGTGAGGGTGCCCGAAATCCCTTGAACTATTTGACTGTCTAATTACTGTTCTATATATTCCAGACATTTGGCATAAATATTTTGTAAATAGCAGGCCAAACTGGGGAAGAAAGCATAATAATGGTACGCCTCAGCTGGCAGCATTTTAGTCGAGAAATAAAGGTATTAATCCGATAATATAACCCTTTACTTGTGGGGAATCTAAGCCGTAAAGCTGGCATGTGTTAAAGCGATGAAAGGGGTTCTTAGTTTAAGATTTCTTAGTTCTAAAATAAAATAAATAAAATTTTTACAGCAGATATATAGAATATTTTAAAGAAAGAAGTCTCTGAAATCCAAAGTTGCGGATATCTACCAAGTGACTCTATATTTCTATCTCTTTATTTATTTCAATATTTATGGTTACTTTGGAAATATATTATCAGGAGAGATAAATAATAAAATAAACATAATTTCAATGAAACCCCCTCAAATTATGCATAAAAATCATAAAGCCAACATGT